TCCACTGTATCTACTCACAACCTTGACTTGAAATGTTTCTTATTTGTGGTCTGGGTTTTTGTGGTTTTGTTTCCAGCATGTTTTGACTCTGTGTCAACACATCTGCGATAGTCAAACATCAAAACCACACACTTCCTCTTTTTTTTTCCCCCCATCACTGTATCGCTGCCAAATATTTCTCAAAGTATCTAATTAAGTCAACTAAGAAATATTGTCAGCGCATCGCTTCCCTTTCCCATCAGCTTAGCCACATGAGCAACTCCTTGTATGTTTCTTGGAGGAAATAAAAGATGTAACCCCAGTGTGATGCCCAAAGACCACTGACCAGAGATGTCTAGAATGCAAAATTAACTCAGTTGGTTTGCACATAAAAGGCACGGATAATTAGAGGAAAAATATAATTCATCATACGTTTGATAATCAGTCTGATTTGGTCTCCTATCTGCACCGGGGTATTCAAATAACCCCCCTACTATTAGCACCCCACTCTGCCTCACACCAGTAGTCTGTTTTAGCCTCTCTTTGTTCCCCTACAACACATTATCATTATTGTAGCTAATTGCATGCTTTGCCTTGAAGTTGTGCTGGAGACTCGTGATCCAGGGTTGAAACGTGGACAGGGATCCGGTCTTCTCCACAGCTTGCTTTACGCTGCTAATTGCCGTTACCACAGGATAAGGCATGCTCCTCGCTGTGGCCAGCCGGACCAGCCTGGAACAGGCATGGGGCGGGTCCGGGTGGGGGGGATACTATCACACAAGGGTGGTAAGATGTGGGAGGGAGAGCCGAGGGTGGCATAACTGGAGTGGGATGGGTAGACCAGATTGGGGAGGGAAAGGAGAGCGGTCGGGGGTAAGCGGGAGGGATGGAACCGGCGTTAGATGTAGGTCAGTGGGAGTGGAGTACCCTAAAGATTACAGTTGGTTAATGCGACCCCTCTCTGACAGGATCTGAGCCCCCTACCTCCCAGCAGAGGTGGACCCTGGCATTTGGGGAACCCAGCTATTAGTGAGGCTAATAAAGCCCGGGCAGAAAGTTTTGAACCTGCAGTATAGTCCAGAGACATTGTCCTGCCACAGGTCCAAAGGCTTTATCTTAGTTAATATAGTCCTAAATGACTGCACAGGGTCTTTTAATGATTGTTAATAAGACAGAGGAGCCGCAGTGTGTTGAAAAGACATCTATAGGCGCCAATCTTCATTTTACAATCCCTCGTAATAATTGTGTTTTTATGAGCGTCTTCTCTTTTTTTATTATCTGTGTTTATTAAAGAAGTGGAACGTGAGAGATGAGTTCATCTAACTCTCTGAAAATCTCAGATTTGTTTGAGCTCTGATAGTTTCCTAATTCAGATGGGAGCGCGAGTTTTACACCACAGTATCAACTTCCATCTTCAAAATGAGTCACAGCTCCCGGTGGGGCTCCAGAAAAAGGATGTGGAATCACAGACATAACTAGTGACAAAGCCTCCATCACCCCATATAAGATCTCATTCCATCTGTGAGAACTTTGGGTCTACCCCAGAAAAATAATAAATATCCCCGTCTCATGGCTGCCGCTCGTTTTGTTCAAAAGGTGGTTTCAAGACCAAACAAAGGAAATGGTGTCATTAATGATATATATTATGAACTAGGGCCCTCTTAGAACGGTTTCCTACAAATGCATGGATGAGGGGTTGATCTCTTTCCTAACAAAGGATCTCTAAAATATGAAGTGAAAAGCTACCCAAGATGAAGCTGGTAAAGAAACAAGCGAGGAAGGAGCCTATTTCCACAACACAAACAGATTTCCTGGCCTTTAGCAGTCTCTTACTGGGATACTTTGAGACATATCCATCAAAACACAGCTGTATTCATTCATATTTCATACCTCCTCCTTCTCCCAGTGCTTTAACACTGTTCTTTGATCAAAGGAGAGAAGTCGGATCACAACAGGAAGGTTCCCTGCCAGCCAAAGACGGAGATGGAGAAGGAAGGCCAATCCACTGTAGAACTGTTCATGCCAGCCTATAGCACGCTGCACTTCAACTTTAGTCACAAAAAAAAAAAGAGGAAAAATTAGAATAAAATAAATTAACGCCTTGCAAATGCAAAACTAAGAAGACCTCAGAAATTCATGACTTACTTCAGATGAAATGCTTTTACATAAATTTCCACATACGTGTGGTTCCAGGCCATGCAAAGCTCGACTGCAAAACACTACAAAATACTTTTTTTGTAAAAAACACAAACTCCATATGCACAGAGCAGAAAAATTAACAATTTTCTCAGAGTAAGAGATGATTGATTGAAGTCTTTGTAAGATTTAGAGGAATAACAGTTTTTGCAACTGAAGTGATGGAATTGCTGAGAGACAGCAGCCGGCAGCAGATTCAAAACACACAGCTCAAGAGTGACACCATGTGGACAGGGGTGGAAACGACAAAGCACCAGCAGCAGAGAGCAAACTCTTAACCTGAGAATGCAGTCATATTTTCAATTCTTCTACGACCCCCTTCCTTATTGTTTTTTTTTAAATATTTCTTTCCAATTAAATTTCACGTCAACTGCTTTACATTAAGCCTCCCTCTTTACCTCACCTCCACTGTATCAATTCCAAGACGTAGCACTTCCAAAGACCCCTCTTCAGTAAGGCTCGGGGAGAAAAAAAGTGTTTGAAGACCTCCCTGACATTTAGACTCTCTCTGAAGATGACTTTGCCTTCTACTATAGCCTGCGGGAACATAATAAGACCCACACTAAACTTCAATTGATATGCAGTGCCGGATTCCTCTAGGGGAAATTATCATTCTGTTCATAATAAGAGCCACAACAAGCACCTGGAAAATGACTTTATTATTACACCTGCGCTTCAATAAAAGTTTCCTATGACCCATTGGAAACGCACACACACACACAGTGCAGGGAGCATAATTGTGATGAAATGAAAACTATATTATGCATATGATAGAATCCTTATTTGATGGTGGGCGGTGCGAGGATGCACATCTGCTGCGCTTGATTGGCAGGTGTGTTAATGCAGTGCAGTAGCCTTGGATGGAGGAGCTCTGAGACCCCCGTTTCCTGAAGCCATTATCCAAATATGTTCTGTTTTTCAAACAGATGAATGGCACCAAAATCAAAGTATCAAAAATGTATCGCCCTTCATAATGGAATTCCCTCTGAGCAAGGACATGTAACAATGGGCCATTCTCGCCTTCTTGTGCTTTCCCTCTCTAGAAGCCAATGGACGTGACCTCCACAGCTTTAACAATGGAGCATCGAGCAGCAGAAGCACTTGGCTCCTCGCCACAGCCACGACGTGCAGCAAGGTTGCTTTCATCTTTGTTGTTATATTTAAGGATGACATCCTAGCCTGTCGGCCTCTGCTATTGTCTTCACCATGATTATTTTCTACCGTTGTTTAGCCCCAGTTGTGGCTCTTTGATGAAAAGGTCGCCACTCAATTGGAAAACAGTCATTAAAATGCGGTGGGTACTATTCACCAGTGTGCATGGGGGAACCAACTCAACTGAGCTGGTTAATCAAAAGTTAATTATATAATTTTCATGCAGATGAGGGAAACATTCAAATGAATCCCAACTCTACAATCATTACAAAAAATAAATAAATAAATAATTCTAAAATGCTATAAAATGTTCAGGGACCAGGAGGCTGTAAACAATATGAAGTTTAATTTGAGGTAAACAAAGTGAATATCCACCAGGGGGTCCGGGAAGGAGAAAGTGAGGTTAAATCAAATTTGGAAACATAGATACCAGCAGGTTCTGTTGTCCTGATATACGTGCAATTAGGCAGGTCCTTGATGAGGACACTGGGAGGGAGAAAGTTGGCTTTCACTGCAAACGCTTTGGGATTATTTGAAGGGAATTTATGGGATTTTATGCTTTATCTGTAAACATTAATTATTCTCACACAAATTGAATTAAAACCATATTTTAGGGGGAGTTATAAAAGCATAATTATCTTTTAGGAGGATGTTGCAAACTTGTTGGAAACTTCATACAGAGACGTATAAATCAATTCAAGGGAGGCTCATTGTGACTTTCAAATGAAATACCTCGGACAACATTTGCTTTTTTTTTAAACTTTGTCAAAGAAGTTAAAGCAGATTTCTTTCTTTTTTTTAAAAAAGCAGTCTAACCCCGTCAAAGGAAATGATTGTGTTATGCAAATTATAAGCATGAATATTAAAGGGACGATGTGAAGTATCACAAATGAGCGAGCATTGTTCTGGAAGTGCACTGGAATGTGGTTTAATTTCTCTTTAATTCTATGTGCTTTTATAATGTTCACCTTTTCCCAGTAGTGCAAGCGGAGTTTGGGGTTCATTGGTGTGCATTACAACGGCGCTGTAACAATGCGGGGCCTCCACGGTGTCAGCACAGTTCATGAATCCTGGCCCCTAATGCACCAGGCGATTAGTATGGTGCTCCGTCTGTGGGGCTTTGCCAGAAAATGAGTTCTCTTTAAAACATATGCCCCCTGCTGATTCTTTTCCTTTCCCGATATGAAATTCCAATTTTTATAATGAACACCAATTTCCTGTACGGAGAATGGGGGGGGGGGGGAGTTGTGCACTCTTTCAGTTTTCAGATCCTCAATGAGCGTAAAGCTGTTGTGGACATCACATGCAGAACAGATTCAGACGAGTGTCTCTCAGTAATCAACATTCAGGTAGGAACACAACAATCAGATGGCGTAATTTCCCACATCACACATGCACATGACTGCTGTAGCAGAAAATGGAATTACCAAAACTGTAACAAATTCAATTAAGTCATTGATTTCTAATAAATTGGCTTAATCACCAGCTGTTGTCATGCTAAGATTGTTGTGTCACAAGTTTGTCATGCTTGTCGGTCGTGGCTGCTCAGCAAAGACAATATCATCTATTTACGGGCTTTAAAGCATTCTGAAGTCTATAATTTCTGTTCTAATGAGCACTTAAACACGGGAAATTTGCACTTTATCACAAAATGTCTGATAATTTTACCGGTTTTCAAACATTTTTATTACAATTTCAAACGGGATATAACGTTTCAGACATGCAAACAATGACATCTGTGCGGTAAATGTGATGATTTGTTGAATTTGGCGATCCATCACTGGTGTTGATGCAAATACAGTCTGTTTTGATCATTTTCTTTATAGCTCTTCAGTAATCCTTGAACCTTTTCTTTCGTTCAAAATGACTGGAATCCTCATTTATCTGAAGGGAATGAAAGTCAATCTCAATAAACACTTTGGTCCTTTATATATTAAAAAAGCAAATATTTAATTTTCAAAACGAAAAAAAAGATGTCAAACAAGTCTGAGCAAATGACTCGGATGTGTTTGCCAACATTTAAAGAATATACAAATAAAACATTTTCCTATTCAATTGTGCAAATAGGGGAAAATAAAAACAGTCACTGAGCGGTATGTATTGTGTCATTGCTGCTGTGGAACACAATGGCACACAGCGGTGTATTGTACATTAATATTGTACAATTGAAGTAGACATTGGTGATAAATTATGTATAATAAGCACTTACTACATTGTATGGTCTAAGTCTCTCCTGGGTTTGGGCACTCGCCTCTTCAGGAAGAGACACCACTCCTCCAGTGCCCATCATCTAAACACAATAAAACTGAGATTTCAGAGGGTGAAGCCAATGCGGTAATGAAATCAGAACCTAATACAACACAGGGTTGTAGAACTGTTTTTAAAAAAAAAAAATATCAAATACACAGACAGGCTTAACTGACCAGTTTTAAAGAAGAATTTCTCTGAAACTATCTGTAATTTTCACAAAGACACAACATTTCCTGAAACTTTGAAAATGAAATCACTCACCCTGATGGTCGCCTCCAGCTCTCCCACACTCCTCTTCCCCCCTGGTAGCCACCCATAGGACCAGTGCTGGGACAGGGTGACCTGAACCACCAACGCCAACAACAACACCTGCATCATCACTCTGCTGCTCGCTTCCATTAGAGCTGCGGAGGAAGCCAAATTAGTAACACAAACAATAATAAAGTCACAGTCTCCTCTCTCACACACACCGTCATAGAACAGAAGTAAACAGCATTTTAAGTAGTAATTAATAAGAAGTGTAATTCTAACTTAATGAACATTGAACAAACTTCATTGCGGACTGCCTCACCTCTGTATTTGCCTTGTTAGCATGTGGTGCATTAGCCAGAGGGGGATTTTATAGGTGTTGTAGAAGGCTGCTGTCAGGATTATAATCCCCTCTCTGCAGGTGTGACACATTAACTGACTAATGGGACACAAAATACAACTAATGGAGCCGGCTAAGTGCTCACATATGCTGACATCACCGTGAGGGTTCAAGCTGCATGAAATATATATATCCAAAACGTCTTTGTGTTTGTGTTGTCACAGATGCATTGGATGCGTCTGTGTGGCTACGGACAAAACAGACAACATTAGAGATAAAATGTGACATTTCTCTCCATCTATAATTTATTGGAATCAGCTTTTAGCAAACAAACAGCAGTTCAGATCTGTACAGATTGAAAAGGCAGAAACATCATTGAAACAAGATGCTTGTGCATTTACATCAGCTGCAAAGGCCTCAAAGTCAGCACCCCTAATTCTTCTTCTTTCAGCATGACAACACATTAAAATGGAGTCAACAATGCATGACACTTTGTGTAATCAATGAGCACAAGAGTTGATGTACAATAAAGGAATCAATCAATCAGCATGTTATGTATAAACCAATTGTTATGACTTGGTAATAATAGAAGTACAAACAGAGTAGAAAGTTCTTCACCCAAACTCGAGTCTTGCTGATCTAAAAAGAAATATGCAGAAGCCTTGCAAAAATATATGCTTTGATTTCGCAGCAATGTTGAATTTCCTTGTTTAAATATGAAACTAAGACTATCACAGCCAAAATATGCCCGTATGCTTTTACATGCATATTTCATATTTTGGCTGAGCACTGGTTCTTGATATCAAATAACAATTCCAAACATTTTCATCTGAGTTTCTCAGGATGAACAAGGTCCAACTGCAACACTTTCATTCAACTCTTTCATTAAAACAAAAAACGTTTGCATTTCTGCCTTTTTCCTCACCAATCACTTTTACACACTTACACTTATTTAAACTCAAATTGTTGTACATATGTTAACCCTATATTATTGGAAAGGGTGTTTGTACAAACATGTTCCAAACAGGAAAAACAATATCCTTAAAAAAATGTGTATATTATATTAAATTCAACATAAACATCTGGCTTTTTTGTATTAAAATTGTGTCACTTGGTGACCAGTTTGTCAAGATTAGAAGAGTCTTTCTAATCAGTATGGCACTACGTTATGCAAACATGCAAGTGTAAAGTTAGCGTGTATAAAAATGGTATTTATTTAAAGCATGGTGTGAAGCTGGGCTGCTTAACATGTGTAAGAACAATACATTTGGGTTCCTGTGGTACTACATCATTCTCTGCCTGTTCCAATGTGGGCTAATTGCATTTTGCAGCGTCAGGCGCCAATCTCCTCAGTAATATTGCCACAGGCAACAGAAGAAAAGTTGTTGAAGTTGAATGAAATTGCAACAGGCAGCAGCTGTTAAGTTATTCACAGACAGAAGGGAAGTCATTTGCAGCGTATTGCAGAATGAAATGTATCTTGAGTTCTGTGATTTTTAGTTTGAGCCACAAGTAGATCATACATATTATCAACACGTGTCAGACTACACATTAATCATTTAACCTACTTATAAAACACAATATATTCTCCTCATAGCAATCAAACATGTTGAGTGGGCAGCATAAATACAAGACCAAAACTAAAGGCATTGTGGTCGGGGACTAATTCAAGCAAAAATAAAAGTCAATGCATTTACTGTACAACATGGAAGTGATGGTAAGCAACATGTATTACATTATATACATGATATAGATAAAGCTAGAATAAAGATTTTTAAATATTTTATTATCCCCCATAATGCTCTACATTGGCAACATGAAACTTTTTTTTTTTTTTACATGATCAAAAACCCGACAAAGCCATAATGTCTATATTTTACAGTGGGATACTCAAAGATCACACTTTCCTGATAGAGACAGACTCTCCTGGAGCACAGATGTTTTCCCTTATATTACAGTATGTTACAACATTTTTTTAAAGATCTGTAATCATGTGCAAAATGTAAAAAGAGCTTGCTTTAGAAAATAACATTCAGACAAGAAATGCATAAGTTCATTTGACACAAGTAAACAGAGCGGTCTGTGTTATTTAAAATTGGCGTAGTCTGAGAAGATGTCGACAAAATCCTGTACCACTCTGTAGCAGAAGTCGTATTGCTCCTGGAAGGAAAACAAAAGAAAAAGAGTGAGAGTGTATAAGTGTGCAGGGATGGTTTCCAAACAACACTAACGGGAATAAGCCGACAGTTTGTGCACAGCAGCTTTGATATGATCTCCTTTCCACCTACCACAGTCTGAACCATGTGTGGTCTCTGCATGCGTAAACTCTTGACTGTCTGAAAAACGTCCAGGAGGCCTTCAGCTTTCACCCTCTCCAGAATGTTACTGAGGGCGATAAAGGTGCCGGTCCGACCTGCACCAGCACTGAAACACGGGGGGGAAAAAAAATACAATTTCCATCAGCAAGCACATCACATAATGCACACACTGGAAGGCCTTCGGAAATCGTGATATTTATTGCAGAACTGGAAGAGCTACAGACAATTTGGAAATGCAGCTGGGAAGCAGAAAATTTGATCATTTTCAGCACTTCTCTGGAAAAATGCTGCAATGAAACTCCTGTAATGAGTTGCAAAGCAGCACATCCTTTCTTTCCATTTAAGTGAAATAAGTTTGCAAGAGAAAAGGTGACCTTTGTGTAATAGTGCTAATAATCATCCCCACTTAAAGAGAGGCTAATCCAAACGCTAACACTAATCAGTTTGGAAGCTCAGTGTTTGACTGAGTCAATGTTTACAATGATGGTGGGATGGAGAGAGAGAGAGAGAGAGAGAGGAAGAGGGGGAGCGAGAGCGAGAGTGATGTGCGATTCGGAGAAGTGTAGAGAGACGTTTGGGATTGCAGCGGGTTAGCCCCATTTCCCATGGGCAGAGAAAAAGCTTTAAAAAGCCCTTCTTAGACAAGTGGTGATGAAGGAATAGAAGAGAGTGATGACACCATTTCCTGTCGTTAGCTCATCTTATCAGATTAATCATAGTGGGAGTCAGAGGAGATTTCACTTTGAGAGGTTTTAATTGACTGTGAATCAGTGGATTGGATCAATCCCACAGGGCCATGCTGCTTTAGAATCACTTCACCTGAAGCTAGGTTCTGATCAAAGCTTTCACAGCTAAGTCTTTATAAGGGATCACATAAGTGGTTTAGGCAGAGAACACCGGGTCTACTGAGGCAAAATGTAAAATTTATTGTAACAGACATAAGAAAAAATGAAATTCCTTCCTATATCACTCGCAGAGATTTTGGTGATCAGGTAGGCAAAGCAGAGTGAAAGTGAAAGAAGGTGTGCTAAAAGCAAGGCTGGACAAAAGGATGTTTTCATTGTTCATATTTTTCATCTGAAGACGTGAATAACGTGACACATTTGATAAACTGTTGTTCCTCACCTGCAGTGAACAATTATGGGACGGTTTCCAGATTGCTGCTGCTGCCTCTGCACAGCGGCAATAATGTCAATCATCCCCCTTCCCTCGACTGGAATTCCGATCTCAGGCCATCCGTGGAAGTGGAAGTGTCGGACGTGTTGAGACTTCTTTTCCTGGTGAGATGGAGAGCTTACTCTTGTTATTTTCAGGCAGATAATAACTGTAAATTAAATCATGAATTGTTGAAAAATCTTGCAGGAAAAAATGCATATGCATTTGACTGCTTTTTAATTGTTGTAATAAAGTGTTACGCACTGGTCTGTAGGTGAGCACCATGTCTTTCAGAGTGAAGGTTTCACACTGTGAATTTCCAGTCAACTCCACACTATAGTCTCCAAAGGTAACACTGCCCTCTGATGGCCAATACTGGAAACACTTCTCCTGTTGGGAAACGTCAGATGGAAATGCCATTAGGCTTCATTTGACTGATTTATTGCCCTTTTGTGTTGTTTTATTTTCAAGGTGCACCACAAAAACAACATTAAACGATGAAATACACACACAGCCTGTCAGGAAATATAAGACAATAAAATAGCGGCATGAAAAGGAATTTTCTTTTTGAGTGCAACTCTACTTTCCAGCCTGTACTTTTGCAAGAGCAGCATACTGTACCTGCTCCCTCTCTTTGAGCTCGGTGAGCATAACGATTGAATGACACCTCCACTCCCACACCATCCTCCAGAAGTCCTCCACTGAGTGAGACAGGGGGCCCTGGGTTGCGATAAAATAGTCCTTCTGCCTGTAGCCCTGGAGGGCAGATCATCCGGTAAACAACACTTGAGAGTGCGGCAAACATAATATTTTGCATTGTTTGTAAAGGAAACAATGAGCTTTATATATACTTTTATGGGAAATCTATACAGGGGTTCAGGAGGGAGTGCTTACATCAATAAAGGAGGCATTGATGTAGTCAGTGAACTCCTGTCCTCTTTTCACTGAGAGTATTACTCGGTTGAAATCATCTGCGAAAGAAAAAAGGGAAATGAAACTTTCCGCAAGTGATTCCTAATAAAATAAAAGTTTGAAGAGGTTGATGGAAAGAAAAACAGCTAAGTAAAACTTTAGCTGTGTTATTAAGACCAAACACGCCAGAGCCTATATCAGCTTTCATCGTAAAATAGTTGAACTCTTTTTTTTTTCCCCCCTGCTCTAGAGCCGTAACTTTAAGCCAAGATACAAGCCTGATTTGAAATGTCATTGATCCCACAGATACACGGGCTGATTAGCGAGATATCTGTGTACGGCATCTTTAAAACCACACCGAGTGTGTGAGTTTGATGTTACTAGGATGTGATGTATTATGAAACTGTTCAGGGTATACGAGCGGTCCTTACATGGAATGATCTGAAGCACACGGTTCTTCTTCATGTTGGCAGGAAGGTTGCCGGTTCTCATGTTCTCCTTCATTATGCGCACGTTGGTCAGCTTCTGATGCGGGGGGAAACACAAGTGGATTGTTTGATCAGAAAGTTTGTTTTTTATCAGGACAGCGCAGTACAAGGCTTTTCAGCAGGTTTACTTTTTTTGAGTGATTGCTTCAAAGACAGACGACCTTTAGAAATGCAAAAAGGAAAAATGCATGAAGTAGAGAAGAATCCGGTTTCTATTTGCTTTTCAGGAACTCTAGGACTTTTTGCAGTAAAAATAAGAAATTTTCAGCAAGCTACATAAAAAAATTCTGTGCAGCAGATGGTTCTGCTTTATAACGTTTTAGTTGATCCAAAGCATTGTTATTTATGTTACTACTGCCAGGAGTGGCACCCTGGGCAAATTTTTCCATGAAAACACACCCGTGCAGGGTGCAGGGTGATGGGGACGATTCATTACACACTGAAAATGTTCAAGAGCGAGCTTCTTTCTTCCTACCCTGAACTCCTCCTCCAGGCCCAGCCTGTCGTGGGGAGCCCTGGTGTTGTGAAGCCTCTGCAGATGGCCCTCCAGAGAGCACACATCTAGCTCCGTGTCTCCATACAGATAGTACTCCAACAGAGCCTGGTAGATGAAGGAGTACTGCATCTAAGAAGGAAGACACAGACGGAAAAAATGTTAAAAAAAAAAAAAAGTTTGCCAAACTATTCCCTCGCATTTTTTGCATCACAGACAAGGTTGTTTTTACATGTCCTAGCTTGTTTATGCCCCGACCAGAGCAGCGAGTGAAGCTGTCAGTCCAAAGAACATCAGGTCAGAGGGGGTCAACACTTACATCTGTCTGGATGAGTTGACAACGCTGCTCTCGTATTCTGCTCACAAAGCCGAAGACATCCAACCTCTGTTCCATGTGCATCATGTCGATCATGCTGTCAATGACAATGAACGTCCCAGTCCTCCCAACCCCGGCACTGTGGAAACGCAAACAACATGACACAAGGTCTTCTCAGTGACAAAAACCAGGTGTGGCTACAAAACCAAATAAAAACTCTTAGGGGTAAAAAATCAAAGTAGAAGACAAACATTTTTGCTTTTACTTAAAATACAAAAAACAGACATGATTTGAGGATTTTTCTGACATATTTCTATACTGTCTCTGTGTTCTTAACTTAGACGTCACTGGCGGACAGCCCCCAAGCATGTGTAAAAGTGCTCAAGCTCACTCCTAATAGATTTACAGGGGTCATTTCAGCGGACGGCACCTCAGGGAGCACAGAGCAGAGATTCCACAGCGGGGTGTTGAAGCCTCTTCAATGGGCCCCACTCAAGAACAACAGTCCCTCTCCCCGAGCACCTGTTGCTGCAGTCGCTACAATCGGCTACAGATTTCTTTGTTGATGCCTTACAGTGATTTACTGGACAAACACATGCACATGCCACATTTTACTGTCTTTAACATCGTAAAGAGACTGACATTTTAAGTGTTATCAAATAAAATGATATCTAAACTTTCATCGTAACCTCTTCTGCTGAAACTCAGGATTTACATTTCAGGCACATGGACACCAATCCCTCTGATACTTTTAGGATATGTCTACAAATGTATATGTACATACTGTTTACTATATTTGAGGTTTGAAAAATATCCTGCTCCTTGGAATCATTATGATTTAAAGAAACTGTACCTTGATGTAAAGAGAGAGGATGGGGTGAATAAGGAAAGCGTGCTTTCTGTGTTAAATACATAATTCATGGCTAGTAACAAATTAAAGCAAGGACACGGAGAAATAATACAAAACTGAAAGGAAGGACGGATACAGCTAAATAAATCTGTGTAATGGAAAGGAGGATTTCTTTGGATAAATGAAAGCAGTAACTTCTCCATAATTGGAGAAATTGAATACATATGAAGCAGTGCACTGAAAAATCACCACTTGGTTGTGAGTATTTGCAGTGCACTGTTATATATATATATGTATATGTAATTTCTCCAATTATGGAAATGTTTCTGCTTTTCATTTAACTCAAAAATCCTCTAGATTTTGTCACAATATGTAATTACGCTTATTTGTAGCGTTTGCAGTGTAGAAGAGGATGCTGGGACAACCATGTGTTTTAACACTCTTTCATACTGATGTGCCCAAACACATTTTTCTTTAATACAAGCGTGGATGTCCTGAGCACAGCACTGTCAGTCCTTATATCCTGGTGCAGGTGACGGCAGGAAACATCATCTTGTCAGCAAATGAGAAGATTCCCCACACATCTTCCTTTTATGTTTGCTCTTTTTATCTCTCTCTCTCAATAGAGATTTTTTTGATGAAATTAAATGTATAGAAAGGAAGAAACGTGAAATCATTTCTATGTTTGAAAAAGTGTGAGGAATATTTCATTTTCCATCTATTTTATTTCACTTTTTCTCAGAAGTGTTTTCTTATCCTGAACAATGACTTACAATCACCTCTTACTATTTTGGTATGTCTTTTCTCAGATGCACTCTCCTGGCTTCGATCATGCTGTACTTTTTTTTTTTTTTTTACCTGCAGTGCACAACAATGGGTCCAGCGTAGGATGGATTGACAGCCTTGACCTTCTTGAGGAATTTCAGCATGCCGATAGGTGAGAACGGCACCCCGAAGTCTGGCCAGCCGGTGAAGTGGAGCTGGGTGACCAGACGGGGAGCCCGGGGACCATCGCTGCCCTGCTGTGGAGCACAGACACAGATCATATTCTCTCTACATACACATATCAATCAGCTGATGTTTGGTCTGTATTTTTGTAAAGTACAGTTGAGTAAAAAGTGTAACCTTCAGGAAGAGAAACCACAAATTAACAGAACAATTTGTACCAAAATGTGTGACAGAATATCATTATTAAACATGTGTACTGGTTTTCCTCTGTCAGACTCTCACATCTCATGAATGCTCTCTCAGGAGATCATCATTTCACTCTCTTGAACACTCGGTTGCTCTGCGTTCAGAGAGCTGAATGCGAAAGCAGCCGGTCTGTCTGCTCGTGCTGCAGAGCTTCAGCTCACTCGTAGTTTTCACACAGTCAGAGAGGATATCTGCACTGCTCTGGCTTCAAATGGAGCGGGAACAAAGTGAATTTTGCAATCTGAAGGCTTTGCAGTACACTGAGATAGAAGTCGGCAGTCAAAGACGCAGAGGAAAAAAGAAACACGGGTACTCGACGTGTGAGAACCTCTGAAGATGAGCGCATTCTAAAAAGTGCTTACCGTACATTAAATACACCCACAAAATATCACGCTGTGATTATTGCACACATCCTTTAATGTTCTTTAATGTGTTTTCGTATTGTTGTTTTTATTTATGATATTTTCTATCACCTCACAATTAACTTAAACAGTCCCATTCTCCCCTGGGAAACATTACTTTTATACACAAGCTCAATGCAGCTTTTTCTTCTTGTGCATTTTTAATAAGAATCAGGCTGTTATGATTATATTGTTTTAATAGCAATAAAGAACTATATTAAGAACAATTATGAAAAAGAATGTTAATACTGTGTGTGTATAAGTCTACATAAAAGCATATTGTATCTCGTTTCCATTTAACTTAATTATAAATAATGTGCATGATGTAAGTCAGGCCTTGTGTTTAGCACGATGAAACACACAAATAGCTTTAAAATGCATCCTGTATTGAGCCTTTATTATTATTTAATCATTTAATGTTCTGATGTGTAGATCTGCATTTTTTTTTACTTACATATTGAACACAAAATTTTCTAATGGTGTAGTCCACCAGAACAGTGAAATCCTCCATGGCCACCCTGACATTCCCGTACATCCAGCAGCCTTTCTCCGGCCAGTACTGAAAACATTTGTCCTGGAGAGAGATTCAAACAGAAAAGTGATGACTTGTCATGAAATATGAGCCAGATTTAAAAAATAAATAAATTAATCCTTGTATCGTGTAAAAGAAATGAATGTAGACCCCGTATCCATTGTGTGTATGGTATGCGTACGTGAAGGAATGCCTATTTGACGCGTTATTTCACAATCTAATTCAAAGGCAATCACAGAGACTTTGTTCGACTCGCTGTCAGTCAATAAGATGTTCACAGTGACGTTTCAACTCATTAACGAGATTCTCAGACTAATTATCAAGAAGCCTCTCAGGATCTTATCAACAATTATTCTGTCATTGATCCCCAATGCTTCCATTCTGCCCTATCAAACCTGCTGTTGAGCTCTCAATTGATCATCCCTTTGAGGCTAAATTTAATGCAATGCTAACTAATCTGCTGGGTGACACTCTGTATAGATTCTCAGTTGGGTAAAGGGGGTCAAATAAATTATGCCCATGACTTTGGGTCATGAGAATACAAAAGGGTTTCACTAATGGCACATTAGAGCGGTATAGATTGGAGAAAAGTTCACCCCTGTTGCTAATTAGAAAGAATAGGGTGCAGAGAGACGAACCTCCTTCCTTTCTTTTAGATTCGTCAGCATTACTATAGTCGCTGTTTTCTGTTCCCAGACCATCCGCCAGAAGTCGGCCACTGTCTCAAGCTTTGGGCCTTGTGGGAAACAGTTAAGGAAAGTGTTCAAAAATGCAGAAAAAAACCATCTTAACCTCTCCTGATAAAGTGACTCATAAATACTTAACCGAGCTATATTTACCTTGAGCTGCAATGAATTTACCCTTCTCTTTAAAACCCTGTGTGGGACAAACAGCATCAATGAAACTCTGCATTTACCTTAAACATCATCTTTAACAGCATAAATCCAATTAAGACTCACGTCTATGTAAGATGCATTGATGTAGTCTGAACACAGGTGTCCATCAAGATGATTTAACACCACTCTCGTATGATCATCTGTGGAAAAGAAAAGACAAAAGTCACCGTTTGTAAATTAACTATAGGCTCTTTTGATCCATTTCAGCTTTCACCTTCCTTTTAAATTTAAGAAATCAATAAAACTGCAGCGTTCCTACGTGGAAAAATTACATTGCAATGTTTCTGCTGCAGAATAAAGGTCCTCACTCACATGGTAAAATGTTTGGGTATCTGTTTTTCTCTCTGTTGTGCTCTCTGCTCGCCTCCTCAAAGGACCCGTGGTGGTAGTAACAGGGCAGCGACTATAAAGAAAGAAGCCAATCCTCATGAGATAAAAAAAAAAAAGCTACAGGTACAAAGCCTACAAACACAACATTTTATTGCCGGGTTTTTTTGTACTTGTTGTCTGCTTGCAGGACAAAGATGTTAGTCAGATATACAGCAGAATCCACAACACACATTCTCATGCTTACATTGAACTCCTCTCTGAAGAGCTTGCCATCGTCTGCCGAGCGTATCCGGTACTCCTCCTCCAGAGAGTCCAGAGGGATGGGGAAGTACCTCTTGGATGGCGAGGGAGATCTAGGGAGGAGGACCACTGTCTGCTCTCCTGTGTTTGAAGGGAATATATGGTGGTCAGACTGCTAACGTTTCCCCATAGAGAACATTACAAGCTCTCATAGCACCTGCAAAAACAAGCCTCATGGCCATTAAGATTTCCTACTTCTGTGGGTACATGACAAAAATGATTTCTTGAGTCGTAAACATTGGGGCTGCTGCTGCTGCTGCATGAAACTGTCTCAACTCAGAATTTTGCTGTTTCCCTTTATTTATTTATTTTCTACTTGAAGTGAAGGTTTATATGGCTCCCTATGTGCTTGAAAAAGCTAAGGACCTTCCAAAACCTTTTCCAGCTACCTCGGACTTCAAAATGTGAAACTTTCCTTGTCCATAAAGACCGTAAATCTGCAATTAAACTAAAAAAGACATAAAAAATGAAAGGCTGCTTTATATTTTCATGCACTGGTGGTATTATTGAGTCCAGCACAACGGTACCTTGTTCCTCCAAGAAGCCATTTGGAAGCTTTTTATCGACCGAGGTAACCAGAGCTTTCCTGTGGTTTTTGAACCTACAGTAAAGAGAGAGAGAGAAGAAGAGAAAGGAAAATGCTCAGAAAGGGAAAAGGGCAGAAATCTGTGTTAAAAAGGGGGGGTTGGCATGAGCCGACCCTGAGCTCTATTGTAGAGCCTGTTAAGCACATAAAGTAGACAAACAACAAATACCAAAACCAATATCAACCATCTAAGAGAGACAAAGCTGTTCCTCCTGATGTCGTCTTTAGGCAGAGGACATCTGAGCCGGCCGGTCAGTGAATGAGAGTCTGTGGCCTGACCTGCAGTCTTACTCGAAGGTGCAGCTGTTTACCCATAAGCCTGTGCTCACCGCCCATTTCCAAACCACCCCCAACCCTGATGCCCTGACCTGACAACACATTCACTCTCATACTCACATCCATGGTAAACGGTACAGAGCGAGGAAAGAAAGGAGAGATGGGCTCAAATACAGGCTAACAGATTAATTATTGAACCTGTAATGTCATGTGTTTGTTTACCTCAGACAGTAGATGGTCAGCAGGACAACGATGATAAGCAGCAGGATATGATCAATGTTGAGGGCAACACGTGCGCACCCTGATGGGTGGGGTGCTCTGGATAGAAAACACAGAGATCATGTTTTTAAAATTCCAACATAGATCGTGACAAAATCACATTCAGAAGAAAAGTTTAAAATTGTCGAAGAAAACACACTGATTTTTTTTCTTGCCATTTGTTCATTAAATAAGGAAGATGCACTTAGCTGGTGAGCTTAGCTGAGCAAAAGATTAGAAACAGGAGGAAGGAACTACATGTGTAGCTTGACTCTGGACGTTAAAAAAAATTGACATCCAATCTAAAGCTCAGAGCTCAAAACACTTCATATCTTTATTTATTATTTTTTTTTTTTTACAAAAACCAAGAGAAAGGGGTTGCCAAGATAATAGCTTTCAAGGTTCTGGTAAGTAATTCTTTTTTACATTGGACAGAATCAGGCGGGCTACCTGTTCTTTCTTTTTTGCAAAGCTAACCATCTCTTCCAGGCTTTAACGTTATTCAATGGCGGATCAGACCTTGGAATAAATGTGTTAATCTTACACAATACAAGACGCTTTTCAAAATGTTACACTGTTCCTTTTAAGCAAGACTATATGACTTTCATAGTGCCTCAGTTGGAGAAAAGGCTAGAGTGTGACGGTAATAGTCATAAAGTTTATTGTTTTTTTTGTTATTGTTTTGCTACCAGGGCTAATATTGGCAATTTATCCTTAAAATTGCAGGTCATACAAAACAAATAGTGATTAACGGATTGCATTTAATTAAATTACTTTACATCAACACACTCAACTTTTTGTCTTTGTCAAAAATGTTCTTCTTTGAAAACTTTCTTAAAGTGACCCTGTCTCTCTTTTAAGTAATTACTCACCTGCAGTCTGGTTGTCATGAGATGAATTATTCACAGCAATAGAGATCCCAACCAGAAATAACACCATTGTCACTGCAGATGGATGAAAAAAAAAAGAAAAACTGGTCAGAAAAACAGATTTAACGCTGTGATATCTCACACTTCCACTAGAGGGCGCCAAATTAATATGAAACATGTGAAGCGTGTTGAAGCATACAGAGAGCAGAGAGGAGAGCTCAGCTTTGATGAGCCTTGAGAGGCATGTCTGTCTCTCCGCCGAGCAGTAACAGTCCTTATGGGAAATCTGCTTGCACTCTTGTCCTGTCAGGCTGACTTAAAAGAGCAGCAGCATATCAAATAACCTGATATTCAGACATCAAACGAGAGAGGAGGCTCTAACCCACAGGTGACAGTAACCACATCCCCTGTGGACATTTGGCAGTGGAGTTTACCTTGTTTTATTATTTGTTAGAAGCCATCTCAGTTTGCTGTGTTGTCTTTGATGTGAAGCCTGCATGCTTACAATTGGGCAGGCACACTTTCTGACATTTTTCTTGTATATAATCCAATTGACCAAATACAAAAGTGGCAAATTTCTTCTGACACTAAGCTAAGGGTAGGAGGCCAAATTGCAGTTTTAATGGGTTTCAGGTTGTTAGTCCTATATACCCATGAGTTTTTTTTAATCACGTCACTGCTATCACATTGACCAGAAACTGAAAAACAACAACAGAGAAAGATAATATGAGGAGACATCAAGCCATATTTCAAGATAAATAACGTGTTTTGATAGCTCACTAGCTTCCCTTGGACAAAAGCTAATGTTCACGTACAACCACTCCCTAGCTAACTTGACCACTAGTTAGGAACGTATGACTTTCCTAACATATGGTGTAACATTACCAAAATGTTAGCATTCAATCCCTTCCAGGCTAACGCCATTTGCTAGAATCATATGCCTTTGGGGGAAACATTATCAACAGGTAATATTAGCATTCGCTGCTTCCTCTCAAATACTAGCAAGGAAGTGGCTGAATGCTAATGTTAGCTTGTATCAATTGGTCGCTGATGGGTTGTACGATGTTTTAACTTGAGGTAAACCTTGTGTCCCTTCAGATTTTCAAAGGAAATTTCTATTTAGAGGCTTGTCAATCCAAAAAGAGTAAGAAGGATTTGTCTGACTTACTACATTTTAGCATGGAAAACAGTAGTACGGCATAATGGCATTGCCAACCTAGGAAAGATCTCAGAGAAAAATGGCGGCTGTGTAAATGTGGTAAAAGGCCATAAACATTTTTTCTCCAAATGAAAAGAAAAAGTTAAATTGTTAATCAGGTTTAGAGTGTTGTTAGAAAATTAGCATATGTATATAGGTTATACTGTTGGCTTTCTGAACAAGGCCAGATGGTGTTTGTTTTTCTACTGCAGCTTCTCCCTTTTCTCCCTCCATCACTCTGTCTCTCTTTCCCTCCCTCTGCAGTGAACCATCATATTATTCTAAACCACATTCTCACTCTTCCCTCTCACTTTAATGCTGGCAGCTATTAGTGATTTATTTGGGGCAGAGCTCCTAGAGTGTCTTTCCAAAAAAAAAAGGGGGAATGATAAGTCAACCCCCTCAAATAAAGCAGAATTAAATAGATTCTGACACATTATCCTTGTGTCCTATTATCTCCTAAATTTAGCTTACAATTTCTCCAAAATCACATCTATCTCCTCTTTCCTCCACGTCCTCCAAATAAAAGGGTAAGAAATCACAGAATAAATTGGGCAAATGGGGCAAGTCGGCCTAAATGGCTCTGATGGAATAAATGAAAGGAGCAGAAATGAGTGTCCTAATTTATCCTCTGTATCGACTCCCCTTCTCGTTAGAGAGGCCACAAGACAGGATGGAATAATTCATCGTGTCAATTTAGATCTTCTACAAATGGGTCATCTAGGGGCCTAATTTGTGATATTTGAGAGAATTCCTTGCACATAACACTAGGGGGGGGTTTATATCTCCCAAAGCTTTTGTAGAATAGAGCATAAAATAATAATGCGCTAACAATGTGAATGTCAAAACAAAATGAATGTAAAAACTTAGAAAGAACAACAAATTAGGGGCTCTGTGTTTTGCACATTATATAGCCTCTCTCTGTAGAAATACAACACCCAGGATGCTGACATTATTAAATGTTCACAGTCCAAATTCATGATGTTATTTTTCATGCTTGTTATCATCAGAGAAACAAATCAAATGACGCTTACAAGCATTTGATGTCTCAGAATTCTGTGTGCAAAGTACACACAACACAAAGACACACTGTCTTTTCTCGCATCGCATGTATGAATGCCTGCACATACGTCCCACTGCCAAAGGCTATGTGTTGCATATGTGCCACACTCTGTTGAAGGAGCCAATTCTCTTCCCAGTGTTAACAAGCTGACAGTGTCGGCACCTGTTCCCAATCTACCCCTCTGCGCAAGTCACATTCACTCACACAGAGCCATCCTACAGCTCTATGCTGCAAGGCATGCTGTGTGTACGGGTCACAGCACAGGGCCACTGCATATCTGTCATCTCCTGGCAGCTACAGTATATTCACAGCATATAGCCAGGAGATGACAGAACAGAAGAGAAATGAAAAAATATGTCAATGCTCTGTCAGTTTAAGTACTTTTATTGAATGGAAAATTATTACTGAGGTCTAGATTGCATTTTTTCCTTTACAGCTGAGAAGAAGAGAAGGGAAATGATTGCTTATTATGGTCTATCTGTTGATTCAGTTTGTATTGCAGTGTGGCTCTCTGACCAACAGAGGGACTTCAAGCAAGCAATAGTAAGCATCTTAAGACATGGAGAAGTCAAAACTCTACTGCAACCATTACTCGTGTAACTATAGAGAAGTTTATTCATGGGTTGAAGGCACTCACTGTATGTCCCTTTAAGAAAAGCAAGTCCTTTGATAAAATCTGCAAAGTCATGGTGACTCTGATAGGACAGGACTTGAACTGTGACTCTAACTTTTTTTTTTTTTTTGCTGAAGTTTATTTCGGACATGTAAATTTAAAAAAAAAAAGAAAAAAAAATATGTACAAACAATAAACGACATCATACAAAAGAAGCTCTTAAATACTTTCTTTACTTACATATCCGAAAAGAAGAGGGAAGAAGTATAAGCTTAAACTTTAACTTAACTTTCTGTGATTAACTTAAACAATTCTACATTTCTAGATTTATGGAAATTGTTAAGACTGATTATGATTAATATCCTCACAACTGTCTTTGTTTTAGGTTTTCATTGAATTTGACATGGTCAGAGAGGCATAAATGTAACTACATCATCAACTTGTCTCTTACTCTTTTTGTCTGGCCTATTAACATTCAGACAACCAGAAACCAAATAAACTCTTATAATACTTTATGAGTCAATTTGAATAACTCAATCATTTAATGATATGTAATAAAATCACAACAATTGGTAAATTGATTTGAGCTTGTAAGGCGCTTTTCTAGACTTTTGACTACTCAAAGCGCTTTTACACCGCAGGTCACACCCACCTATTTACACACATTCACACACCAGAGGTTGCTATGTAAAGACCATCAGATGTAACTAATCCCATTCATACGCCGCTGACAAAGCAGCATGAGCAATTTGGGGTTAAGTGTCTTCTTCTTAAGTGTCATGTGGCTGCAGGAGCTGGGGATCGAAGCCCTGACCTTCCCGTTGAGAGATAAACGTCTCTACCCACTGAGCCACAGCCGCCCCAATTCAACACCATCGAATGAATAAGAAACGTTCGCTGTAATATTACTAGGGCCATATTAAAAGGTAGAAAAATTAGAAGCCTTTTTCGTAAAACTAACTGCAGAGCCTGGATCACATTGGATTGTACACGTGTACCTAATGAGGTGGCAGTGGGTGTATATTAGTAGTTTAATTAGCTTATTACAGCATCAGACCCAATGAAAGTCAATCCAGTGTAAAAACCCATTTTTAACAAGGAAAACTCTTTGGTATAATAAACCTGCCATACCAACCAGTGTTTGCTTCCATATTTCCAGATCCCTGCTTTTCTGTCTGATAAATGAAACAGCGGAATCAACCTCCTGCACCTGCTTGACATAATTGTTACCAGAGAATTACATTATTCTGCTTCACTTAATATGGGAGAGTGGGAGCAAACCATACCATCCGTGCATGATGCAAGGCTAAGTTCAGAACGCATCACATGTTGTTTGACCCTTGAGGGTAATGTTAATACTTTGTGCACAAACATGCATAATTAAACACTGATCAACTCTGCTTTTGTGTTTGTGAGTCGAGATAGAATTGAGCATGTTTACATGATTGTGCGTTGCATGTAAGCCTACTACATGCTTAAAAACCGGGAGTAAAATAAAATGGTGATATAAAGTGCATGTCTCTGAAAAACCGTAGAGTCACAGCAGCATAAAATGAATCTGTTCTGCTTCAGTTAAACATCTCCCTCACCTTCGCTCTCACATGAAAATCTGAGAGGAAGACTCAGAGAAATAGAAACACCCACCACAGAAATGTCTCTTTTTCTCTTGCCAGCGCCGCAGCCTGTTCACTCATCTTTATCATTAATTTATACCAAACTGTGCACGGGAAGCGGATGTTTAATCCCTTTCCAACCAGACATAAAAATCTGGACTAATCCAGGTGAGAGAAGTTTCTTTTTGAGCCGAATGAAAGAATCCTGACAGATTGAAAATCACAGATGTGACCTGCAGGGAGATTGCTCTGTGCCAAAACCAAAAAAGAAGCAGCTGAATTTAAGACCCAAAAATACACAGGCTGAGAAAAACTGTTTGTGCAAAAATGTGTTCAGAGTTACTTGAGGCATTATACTATCACCTCTTAGCGCTACGTAAAGATCTCTTACAAATCATTCACTGTATGCACTATTAAGAGATTAATACATGATGGTATGCAGGCTTGTAAAGACACATACATGTGATGCAAGCTTCTCCTACCATCCCTTTTAAGCTTGACAACAAGGTATCTACACTTCTATCTTTTCATTTTCATTAGCAAGGTTCAGTTCCACGCCTCACCATGTTTCATCAGTTACACTCTGCAGAAGGCATTCCAAGATTCAATGCCTATTTCTCTATGTTTTTTTGATTGGAACAGTGGGAGCCATATTGCTTCATGATTGCTAATTTCTAAACACGCATGAGACATGATAACTACAGATAAATCATGGACGCCTTTTGTACTGTCGGCTGGTAACTGGCTTTATAACAAAGGTAAAGAATGTTCTGGTTTATAGAGGTTTCTCAAACAACAACAACATATATCAAATAGATAGCTGTTTCCAATCATGTCTCAGTTTCTTCCCAGATCAATACCGCCTCAAAGACAGATCCACATTTTGGAGCTTGGCACAGAATGGATGGCATGCGTTGTAGACACAAAGATAAAGAAACCTCTCCTTTGAGAGAGAGAGAGAGAGACTAAACAAAGGCGGAGAAGATAAAAAGAACAGAAAAACCAGAAACAGCCACCACTTCCATTTCTCAAGTGCCAGGGGAAAAAAAAGGATGGAACGAGAGCACAAACACATGTCAGTAAAGTGTGGCAGCAGAGAGGAGAGGAGAGATGAGAGAGGAGACGAGATGAGAAACGAGGAGAGAGGAGGAGAGGAGGAGAGGAGCTGCAGGAGATAAATGTCTAGATTCTGGGTTCAGAGATAACAGCCATAATGGTAGACATCCTCGGCACACGGGGGAAGTAAAAAAGATGGAGCTGTACAGTCTGTGGTAAGTCTCCGCTGTTTGTTGTATTTCACATATGAGGGAGGCTTTTCAACAAATACCTTTTACAAAAACACAGGTTTTAAACATCTCCTCCTACACAAGGAATGCTCCTATTTTTATCTCACCTTCTAAGTCCTTTTAACATGTAAATCACTGTTCTTTGCATAGCTAAGGTCAGACAAACGCATCTATATAATCAGTTTAGTGACATCTAGAAAGGAAACACTGTTAATATTTAATTATTTCCGTTTAATTGATTGAGTTTGAATTGATTCCCTGAAAGAGAATTGACCGCCAGAGGGGTTGATAAAAGACTTACACTTCCAAGCAAAGCCGGTGTGATCTGGTATCCGTTGGCCTGTCAGGCCATAGCAGTCATGTGGACCCACTTCCTGCCTCTGAGTGACTTATTTGGGGGTTTTTTCCACCCTCGGCGCTTCTCCTACTCACATCCTCTCTCTGTTATCGATAACCATACTGGATGCAGAGGTGGCAAAGGTCGACGGTGCCAGAGGGCTTTGGGCTGGAATCAAGTCAGAGGGGAAGGCGGAAACCTAGAAAATAAAGCCATAGTTAGTTGAAACAAATCAAAAGCTTTTGTACATATTACATTAAACCGTAACAGATCAGCAGATTCTCTGCGACGCAGTGCTCACTCAAATACACCCTCGAAATGCATGAATACACAAAAGAGAGGAGTAATGAGGGGGAGTTTGCATCTGTGCACAATATGTCTGAGGGAATGACTCCTGCATTTAATTAACTGTTAGAGTGTGTGCTGACATGGAAAGACTGTTTCAGTGCACGCCACATGTTTGCATACTGTTTTAATGCTCGTCTGCAGAAGAAAAAAAACGACTCATTCGTTTCATCTTACAGGACTTACTGCTGCAGGATAAAAACATTATCAAGCTATTTATTTGCAGTCATCCAGAACTAATTCCATAGCAATCAGTATCTGAATCAGTCTTCCCACACATGAGAAGTTTGCATACTTGTTTCCAACATCATGACTGTAAGAATCACTTTCAAATGTAATGGAAGTAATCAAGAGAAGGCTGTTTAACAAACAGCACTGCTTAATTAAACACAGCCTCAAATATATCTGAGAGAATGACTGGGAGTAATTCTTCAATGTTCACACAGAGACTTAGTTGTGATGTTTTTCTTTTTCCTTGTCTGAGTCTGAAAAAAGAAAGCATGCCTCCTCTGCCCCCTCACGCCTACTCTCAGAGTCCCCCTGCCCACAGGTGTGACACACAAAGCCATATTGTAAACTCTTGGCTGCTGTGACGCAGCCGAGCAGAGAGCAGAGAAGAAGAGGTGCGTTAGTCACCATGACCCAGCTGGACGAGCCCACTCAGTCTGAGGAGAATGAATGAACAAGGTATGGAAAACACCTCTCCTTCCCCCGCCGCGCTGCTGTACGAGCTCATGCTCAACTTTTCCAAATGATGCAAAGTCTCTGGCATCTGAACATAAACATGTTTGCCATTAAAAGCACCCCTTATAACCCCCAGAACTGTAAGCCTGTTTAAAAGGCTCTTAGGAAGTGCAGCTTTAGAATGCAGTGTAGTGTTGCACTTCCATAGAGGGACTTTTGGGAAATATTTTTTCTTTTCATTTTGGAATAAAGGACAGTGGAAAAAAACAGCACACGCCAGACATGATGGCCAATCTTTAATATGTGGATGTGTTACCATTGTTAAACTGCTGCTTTGTGACTGTAAACAAATCATGATTTCAGCCAACACAAAATAATTAACTTGGTTTATGTCTCCTAAAAGGCTTGATGGATCCTTATTAATGTTTCCATATGCTTCACTTAGTACATATTTCAAGATATGTGGTATTTTATTCGCTTTTATTAAAATCCAGTTGTCTTTCTTACACATAACAAGCCACAGTTGAGCTTTCTAATCCCTCAATGACATACATTTTTATGAATGTATGTTGTTTTTTTTACCACTAAAATTAAAAAAATATCTATTTACCGCTACAGTAAACAAATTCAAAATATGTTCCACTTAGCAATAAAGCTACATACGATTCTGTAGTGTGATTTAAGGCCTTAAATTAGATACATCTATTCTTAAGGAAATGTAATTTCTTAATTTTGATCTACCTACTTGTAGGGAGTTTCAAATCTTGACATAATATTTAAGACAGTTTACTGCTCCATATATCGCCTGTCATTAATATCCCATTATTTTTTTATAGTTATATTTTTGTCCTATCTTTATTAGATAAGACAGCCGAAGAGAGACAGGAAGTGTTTGGAATAGAGAGTAGGGGATGACATGCTGCAAAGGGCAAAGGCTGGAATCGAACTCACAGCCGCTGCGATAAGGATCACAGCCTCAATGCATGGAGCGCGCGACATAACCACTAGGCTATCAGCGCCCCATCAGCATTATGTTTTTTTTTTTTTTTTTTTTTTTTTTACCATCATTGCATCTGTTATACTTTATTTAGCACAAGAAATCAATACAGCAGCAGCAGACATGTCCTGCTGTAGTATAGGTTAAGTACTGAAGACAGCAGTTCCACCACCTACTCTAATGTAACTCTTTCACAGAACGTCTGCGAGGTTAACACCCATGTATTTCAAACTCCACACCCATGAGAGACGATGACCAAAAAGATGTAATTTCTGTAATTTTCTCAGGCAGGGCTCCCGCTGAACCACAGACAATCAATATACAACTGCTGCCACTGGCTGTGTGCTGTAATGCTGTTAGATGATGTGTAGAGTCATGAAGTCTTCCTGTAAGGTAGTATAGGAAGTATATTTTTCTATTTAAACAGAATCATAATAAAAACTCACTCTGCTATACTCTATATGTGGAACTGATGAAGAATAGATGACATGAAGAAGGTCAAGAAAAAAACATATAATGGGAAAAAAGACAGTTACTACACAGGTCATGTGACTTTGACCTTTGGCTGGCTAAACGTTAATCTTGTTCCTGGATGTGTCAATCAAAGATGAATCACTGGAGGAAATGTTCCTGAGCGGATGTGAGCACATTTCTCACTGCTCATTCTTATTAAGTAGGTTTGAGAAAACATTGGCAACCAAGCAGGGAAATAGAGATGTTAATCATAGATAGAAAGGTAAAGTGCAACACTGAGGAAATGACATGAGCGAAAGGTGTGTTCCATTTGATCCAACATGGCTGCTACATGCATTAACAGTAAAGTTTAAGCTGTAACTATTGTGATTCTTTTTGTGTAGTTAAATCAATCACACCGAAAGAATCCTTTAAGTTCCATCAGTAGACATGTTGTCATGTTATTTCCGCATGCAAACCATCTCGTAGTGTTGTTATCATCAGGTAGGGGCGACAACAACAGTATGTACTCCTGGAGTCGTCCATGTTGCTTGTTCGCCTTGCAACTTGGTTAACTCTGGTGGTACGTCATCCCCTCCAAGATCAGAGTTCTGAGCTAAATGGAACTGCAGCTTTTTGCAATTGCAATATACTATAATAGTTCTAAATCCAAATATGATGCAAATAAGTTATTATTCTTGTTTAGTTTTATTCACCCCCCTCCAACCCTGTTTTCACTTTCCTACTTATTATTTTAGATGTTTCACCTGTTTCTTATCGATCTTTCATACCTAAATACAAACCTGAGTTCCAGCACACGCCTGATTTTTACTCCTGAGTTGAAGTATTAAACTAAAGCAGAATGAAACTCCGGCTGGTAAATGGGATAGAAGGGGGAAGAAGGAATGGGTTTTGAATACAAGTTGTGTTCTTTGTGCAGCCCGCAGAGTTTACTGTAGGTTTTGTAAATGTATATATTTGTATTAAGTATCAATGTAAATATTCTTTAGGGGAAAAGAAGCATACGATTCTCTCTCAAACTACTTTCAATTTGTCTCTAAGGTTTAAAGGATAAAACGTATAAAATATTCATACAGATCAATTTGCATTCATAATGTAGTGTATTAATTTAACTCTTTGGAGGTATTTAATGAGACCATCTCCATACACTCAGTCCTGCACATTGAGCCCACAGAAGATGGAAAGATCCTCATGACATGCGATTACTGAAGGCACAAGCGCTTCCTTCCTGTGCCGCTCTGTCCATTGACTAAGAGCAGAATCATGCAGGCCATTAAAGATTGATGGGAGTGCAGTCATCACCCAGCGCTCTGTGCTTCACTCATTAATTCATAAGACAACAGACAACACTGATTACTGTAGCTAAGCATTGCTATGAGATAACGTTAAATCCTTTGATGAGAATTTAAAAAACATTTTTCAAATATTTGCACGAATTGGTGCGACATGCATACTCCTCAAATCTAATGAATTCAATGACGCTGAAGCTAGCTATTCATGCTATTCACATGCCAACTTCCTGCTGCATGAATCCAATATTGATGGGACTCTTAACCAAAGAAGCACACGGTTTCCTGAGATGAAAAATGTGCTGTTTCATATGAAATGGAGTGAACTACTGGCACAGATGCATGCAGGATAACCTACATTCATGATGCTTTATTTGGTGAGCAAACTGGGACTGAATTATGTAAGTCAGGTTGGAAAATCTGGTTTCACATGGGCTCAGACGTGCCGAGTATCTGTATGTCTTGATTCTATTTGATCTGTGATGGTTCATGCAGAAAAATTCTCTGGAAAACAAGACAAAATGTGGATTTTATAAGCAGAAGATGAAGACAATACAATGCCTAAAAGGTTCGACAATGGTGTCTTCTTAAATCAATGAAGAGACTTTCTGAGTGTTCACTTTAAGACTTCATAGAGGCTATAACTCTGTACTCACGAGTCCTGAACCCACACTGACTGGTCTACTGAGCGTGTCAGAACCTTCATGCCATGAAATAAGTGGTCATCGCCGAGGGAAATAGCCGAGGAATATTATTTTAACGCCTTCATATCAGGAGATGAGCAGAGTAATCTCCAGCCTCAAGTCTGAGGACTCTGGAAATGACACTTCTGGGCCACAGTAAAGGTGAAACCAGGGACAAGAGATAATAATCAAGGCAATTACAGCTTCAGCACTCATTCTACTGCACAAGGGGGAAGGAAGTGTGTTTCTCTCACTGGAGTCCAGTGAGAATGAGATCAAACTGCAGCAAACAGTGCTAGATCATCTCTATCCTAAACCTCACATTCTTAAATATGTGACTTTTACACAGTTGAAGATGCTCAGATACTAATACTAGAACTAGAAATAGCTTCTGATGCATCCTAAATCAATATCAGGGAGTATATTAGTCTATGTGTTGATCTCATGCTATCATTTGTAAGCCCAGAATAAATCTTCTGCTTTGCGGATCCCATATGTTTATATATTCCTGGATTTATTCTTTTTTTTTTTATTGTGATTAAAAATTGATTTGAAACTCAAACTAGAAAAAAGGGCTTTATGGCATTCTCTGTATGCATTTTTTTTTAAATATATTTGACAAGATGTTTAACCCTAGCTAGCCAATTACCAAGTAGCAATGAATATCAGATCCAGGGAGGGTTGATGGGAAAAAATGGACATGTAAAAATGAAGATCTACTTTATCTTCTCTGTATCGTTGGGGTACTTTTGGACAATATGCATGTCTAGGTACTAGGGTTGGCATCTTTGGGTGTCTCACGACTCGATTCAATTTCGATTCTTGGGGGTAATGATTCAATTCAGAATCAATTTTTGATTCAAAACGATTCTAGATTCATTAATCCATGGATTCAAAGTCAATATATGAATTAGTACATAATTCTGGATCTACTCCAGTCATCTGTGAGACTGACTGAATTTCTTGTTGCTCTATTTGGCATTCTACTGAGTTAAATAGCTAGCCTTAGCACTTACCAGGGAGTGACTGATTAGCAAACCTCTACCAGGTACCAGAATTGGTGCTGGAAAGGAAGAAATAATATCAGAACATATCAAAACGTGTTAGTGGCGAAGGATTGAACAGTCTTGTTGCTTCAGTCTGACCTGTTTGTGAATTCTGCTTTCTGTCGTTCAGTGTAAAGTGTTTACTCGCGCAGCTCCTTGAGTTTAGATGCTGCAGCCCTCATACAAAATGAACACTCTGTTATCTTCCCTTACCCCCCGAGAACTCAAGAACTTCTTCTCCTCAGAGCAAGTTACACCACAAGTCATGGTTTACTTATGAAACACCGACCTAGCAAGCTGACATGGCAAGAAGCTGAGCTTCAAACACACATGATGTGTTAATATAATCAATATAACTGAAAGCTAGCCTCCAGTCAAAATGTGCAAAAGTGACTCTTCAAACTGGGCTGTGATGGTGCAGTGGACATATCTGGAGGCTGTAACAGAGTTAAACATCCATGATACCCTAGCTTTATCTCACATGCCCCATGTACGGAGGCTTTAGTCATCATCGCAGCGGCCGTAGGTTCAAATCCAAACTCGGCCCTTTGCTGCATGTCTTCCCCCCGGCTCTTTCATCCCAACATTCCCTGTCTCTCTTCAGCTGCAAAAAAGGTCAAAAAATAACTTTACAAAAAGAGTTAAACATCCCCGACCAGGCTGGCCTACATCCAGTAAAACGACAAATACAGTCATTTCCATCCTACCTGCTCTGTTATAATCAACACTGCAGGGACAGTCAGAGTGTTTTTAAATCAAGAACCACTGCAGCAGAAAGGACAACAAACAGCTCAAGAAGAAGGCAGCAGTGACAAAAGTCTGACAATAAAGATCAGCGAATCAGGAAAGGGTAATTATCCAGTCACCTAATGAAAAATGTGTCAAGTTTTAGTTAGCCCACATGTTATTGTACGTGCCAGCCACGATGTAATGGAGCAATCAAGATGATATTTAAATCAGTGACGATTAAAGAATTGCTTTCCAACATTGTATAAAATGTAAATCTCTGGGTTTAGCACGAAGCATTTACTCTTAAAACAACTTAATCTGTTTAAAAAACCTCTAAACAACATAGTTTTATAGTCACAAAGTGGATGTGACTATGCAAAGCTGACACTAAACTGTTTCAAAACAAAACTCTGTGATGGGAAATAAATTAAAGATACTACATAGAATCTATTTAGTTCACTTGAAAAGCTGTCACACTGAAAAGATCTCCTACCTGATGGACGCAAGGAAGCACTGAATTAAGTTTTATGACCGTCATCTGATAGCTCATCTATGGCAACCTCAGAATTATCCCCCGAGCAGATGGATATCATTTGAACCAAGGGAAGTGGCTCACGTTGACTCAACAGTGACTCATGTTTTTCTACCCGGGCTGTAGTTTGTATCAATGTCCAGCATTCATGATGTCAGGGTTGATGCAGGGCAGCATGCTAAGCTATAAGCTACAGCAGTATGAAACAGGCCAGTGTGGATGAGCGTCACTCTCACCTGGAGTCATCATGAGGAAATTAGACTTTGCATTAGCATGGGTCTAACTATAGCTCGTGCATTCCCCAGGAGAAAGAGATGTGGGTTACGTGGCCAAACATTCAGCTCACAGATGTGGCGTCTGAGGTAATTCTATAATTAACATCAGATTTTATTAGGCCATTTAATCAGAATAGAGCTGAAGGTGAAGTTATTGTGAATGAGGTTATGTCGGCATTTATAATTCATGTATGAACACATGGCTTTTTCCACCACTTTCCCATGTACTGAAGCAATTATAGCAAAGCCTTATGTCACTCTCACATTATTATTAGAGTCTGTAATGATCAGTTAAAGAGGTTTGCTATCAGTGCCTACTTAAAATGGTACACACACTGTATGAATGCAAATGATGTAGCAACTGCTGTGTATTTTGCAGATGTCTAGAGTATGTTGAGAGCTACAAATCTGTGTTTGAATGAAAGTTGCTTGAAGAATGACTGTCACGTTGTTACTCTTTACAAACAACCTTCATCGCTGCAAGCCTGTGCAACATCCAGTGTTTAGCATGCAGCTCACAGGCCTGTCTACATGAATACTACATGGAGCCTACTCGCCCCCACGCGTGTTCTGTCTAGACCAGAGAGGATGCTGCATACCCAACATGCCCCTTCCTGTATCATCTGATCGGGATTTAAGCCGCATTGATCTGATCACTGTTAAGAGTCCATTTATAAAGCGTTATTGGATACAGCTAGAAGGATCCCATAGCATCCTAGTGGTCGCAGGGCGTATGGATTTGCTCCACTAACCCATATTTACTGTATGTGGCCCATGTTGGTCTGTGCTCAAGAATGGCTGCATAGACGAAGCAGACACATCTTTGCATTCGCCCCCCCCCCCCTCCTCCCTTGGAGATTTGTCGTGGCATTTTTTGCGAAACGCAGCAGTTCTTCTAATTATAAGCGAATTAAGAGGAGTACTACGCATCGAAAGCACACGGCATGCAGGGAGTGGGATTCAAAATGAGGTAGGCAGACCATCAGCAGCTGTTTACGCATAAATACACAGATGGGTAAGTGGCCCGGCTGGTTTTCTCTTGCTGTTGTTTTCCCCCGCATCTTACCGTGCTACTTTGCGGTGACCTCGCCTCACACGGCGCAGCGGCTGATGGTGTCGATATCTGTCCTCTCCTGCGCGGATCCACCTCCTTCCTCTTGTTAATGTCCTTTGGAGAATAACACAGAAACAACAAGGAGCTCTCGGATAATGCGCTCAGATTCCCCTGATGATCATGGACTACCCGGCAGATCTCTCTGAGGATGCCTGCCCGCCTGCGTGCATGCACGAGCTGAGCGGATTGTGTTATGGCAGCCGAAGTGGAGAGTGGAGACCCCCCCCCCCCCCCTCCTCCCCCGGGCGTAGAGCAGTGTATCAGGTGGACACTCAGCATCCTTCACATTCCTGCATCACTGGACGGTAAAAGGGCATAACAGTGCGTAAAGAGGCTCAGTTTGTTCCTGTTTTTTTTTTCTTTGTTAGTTTTCACGGTTGACATTTACGTATGTGGCGTTTGTTCAATAGCCTACATAAATAAATAAACATTGACATTCCCCTAGTGGTCCTCTGGGGGTTTCAAATGACGACTTAACATTGACCTTATCAAAAATGTAGTTTTTTTTTTTTTTTTCCGTCAAATCTGTTTTAAACGTGCATGTTAGATGCCATTTTTTTTTTTTTTTTATCAGACAGAAATGGTTTTCCTATTTTAGTGTTTTCCAATAAACCTCAGGGCCTACGGTGGAAATGTAATTCCCATAGGTCAGTACCATAGACAACCTTTACGGTGCAATAATAATAATAATAATAATATTAATAATGAAGAAGAACAATAACAAGAAGAAGAACAAGAAGATGGGGAGGAAGGAGGAGAAGAAGAAGAAGAAGAAGAACTTGCTAAGCGTTTCACTTTTTGACATTATTTGAAGTAGAGCCATCTGCTGGCAATGATGAGCCTGTCATGCTGCCCTCATGTGCTCCCCAAAAAAAGTGTTAAATTGGATTATCAAACCGTAAAATGAGGTTATCCCTCATATGTAGGCATTATCATGGAAATATTAAATCGAGAGTTCAGGGAATGTTTTAAGAAAGTTATATTAGGGCATTATGTGCAAGTTTATTTTATTTTTTGTATATATACAGAATTTATAGGCCTTTCTTATTCTACTGCTTCATGACAGCTTTAGTGCCCAACAGTGTTATACTTGTGCACAACTGGTTGGCATTTGAACGAGGGACTCATGAGTCAGAAATATGAGCTTCAAGGCAAACAGGAGGGCAGTTCTGTTAAAGGGCAGCTGTATGAAAAAGCCACTTTGTTCCCAGGCTGTGCAGTTATACAAGCACATCTCCAGTCCTCAGAGGCCTTTTAATATCACTCAAAATGACTGTCTTTGTAACATTGTCTATCAGGGATAGAAAATGTGTGATGTGTAAATGTTCAGCAGTATGTGGGGTTTTACCCTATGCATGTTTTTATTGACTTTCCACAGACATGAAAACGGAGCAGTCAGTGTAAATGGGATGTTTCTGCTGACCTCTTGTGGACGCTACATTCAGTTAATGAAGTGAGTCCATCTTCTTTTAAGGGGGGCGGACTGCTGCCAAAGAAATTAATTCAAGAGGTTGGGGAAATCATTTAAAAATGATGACATAATGTCTGTGTAAGATCAGATCCAGGACTGTGATGCAATAATTTAAAGGTGTAATGAACATTTTTAATGTGATGAAGATAGGAGGTCCAGATTCAACACATCATGGATGACATCGACCATCGATCAAAATCAGTCATGTCCTTGAGATTTGTATTCCTTTTCAGCACATTGTTGAGTTAATGACTACCTCAGGCTTTCCCAACATTGGGGTCCTGACCCCACGTGGGGTAGCATGGAATTCAGGAGGAGTCGTCTGAAATTTTGAATTATTGATCAAGAGAAAAAAATACTGTAGCATTCTGCCTTAATTAATCAAGCCACAAGACGTTATCCAGTTTAGCATGAGTTTTGTCTAAACTGAACACAGGCTACTGTAGGCCATAGACAATGCCAGTAACCAACAAACTTTCAGTATCTCTGTCTGTTTCTCATCTGAATGCTCAGCACACACATTTGCACCCGCAGGCAGCACACACACCAACCTTGGTCGCAATCCTCATCCAATCACAGTTTTGATATCACGCACAGAACACTGCCATCAGTAACACAGGTGTCGATCTGACATATTTACTGCTTTGATAAAATAACCCCAGGATGCATTCACTTCCCTCAGTCTCTGAACTCCACACGTGACAGCTTCATGAACACGCTTCAGGTTGCTCAAATGTCAACAACGTTTGAAAGAAAGAAAGAGAGATGGTAAAAGGCTAGTCGCCCTAAGAAAATGGAAAGATTTCTTTGTCTCCAGGGCGCTTGTGGGGCAGTGGGTAGTGCCCAGGTTCAAATCCAACATGTGTGTCCTTTCCTGCATGTCATTCCCCACTCTCTCTCCCTCCCTGATTTCCAACTCTATCCACTGTCCTTTCTCTACAACAAAGGCCCAAAAAAAAAGATTTTTGTCCCCTTGCCCTCATAAACAAAATCCTCACTTTGTACAGTAATCTCATCCTTCCGCCTCTGTCCACAACAATATACATGAAACAGTCTAAATGTGCTCTAAGATGAATGTTTACAGGGCTCTGGTGGCACAGTGTTTGATGCACGCGCCCCATGTATGGAGGCTAGTCTTCCAAGCGGGCAGCCCAGGTTCGAATCCAGCCTGTGGCTCCTCTACTAGGACTCTATCTACAGTCCTATCTCTCAATTAAAGGCCCAAAAAGCCCAAAAATAAATATATAAAAAAATAAAAAAAATGAATGTTTACTTGCAACACAGTAGAAAAAAACTAATTGAATACATTTATATTTAAGCAAAAATATATTTGTGTTTTGGAAGTCTGTGGTCACAAGAGTTTTGTGAAGTCAAAGTTGGGTTAACTTATGATGGACGTATACTGATGAGTTTATAACAAATGTCATTCAATCCCCCTGAATGAAGAATACAAATTAGACAAATTGCACTGAAGATATTTTATATTCCTTCGGCAGGTAATCGTTTTTTAAAGTCTTAACAAGCTAACAGAATCATGACGCTTTAGAGGCTTATAGTTTGGAGACAAAGCAGTTAGCAGCTCAGATGTAAATATTGGAAAACATCTACTGTATGCAAACTTTTAAACAGAAAAGCTAATTAAATTTTCTTTTAATGCCACAGATGCCCAAAGAGGGATGCCAGTGGGAAATGAAGAACCTTCTTTTTCTTAGGTTTTGTATCACTGTCAAGAAGGCATTATCTCAAATTGAAAAGAAAGCTGAGCTTTTAAATTAAAAAGAAATATGCAATAAGTCATTAGCATCACAAAACATTCCATCATTTGCATTAAAGATGAGAAAGTTGGACGTAAGTGTCAGAGTTTACAAGAAACCCACTGTTGTTAAATGCATGACACAGAATTCACATTAGCAAGGAAGCGGATGGCTACTTGATCTAGAAGACTTAGTTATTTATGCTGAAGTGATCTGAATCAATCTTGAGATGCAATAGAGAGATTACTAACTATATCCCATGCATAATTGTGCCAAAGTTATCTGAATTAATTGCAGCCATATTGCAACTCACTCAGTGCTTGAGATGATGGAACAAATCTGTTCATTGAAAAGCTGCGAACAGAACATGTCATCTTTCACCAGCCAACAATGCTCTAAGCAGAATTTCTGTTCCATTTACTGCCTCACTTCATCTCAGGCTGTGAGTTATCAGCCTGAAAATAACACTCCAGTGAGATTGTAGCATGCGTAGCTCTCACCATGTTACAGCTGGGGGCAGTGTTTCCCCACAAATACAGAATAAACGGCCACTAATGCTGTACACACTGCTTTTGGGATTTATTATGTTTCATACGTGTGTGCTTGTGTGAGTGTGTGACTCAATCACTCACCTAATTTACCTCATCATCTAATTGAATTACTTTAGTTTCACTCCACATTGAAGAGATCGACCGTCATGCTCGGCTTTAATTCACCAAAATGCAGCGTGTGTGAATCATGTGGAGAGCTCGGGAGGCTGTGGTTAAATTCAAAAGAAGAAACTCTTCAGCCTGCTGAAAAAAAAAGACCAAAAATGTCTCCCAAATACGTCATGACCACATACTGAGGTCAACACAAACCACAAACAAAAGGTTTGTCAACACGATATTCGATTGCTTTGGCCCATTTTATATGATACTTTAAAGATACATGAAAAACGTACCGCTTTAACTGAGTAAAAACATTTGTGTGGATGGACAGTGGCACTATGCTGTAGGTACATTTGCTTCCTCAAGGCTCAAGAGACCTTTAAGAAGGAAAATGTTTTCCACCTGCGTGTCAAAGAGACAAAGAAACAACCCAATCTGACCTTTATCACTTCATGTTATCATACCTGAGAGAGGGAATTCGAAGTGTGTTTTTTTAGCATTTGATGACACAGGTTGTATGCTTTCTATCTACTTGAATGCAGTGAATGACAAAACTGATCTCATTTAGAAATGCTAATGAACACAACAGAAATATCTTGTCTGCATCCAATCACAAAGCTGCACTGCACATCTTGAGCTGTGCCCTTGTACTTGAAGCTTCCACAGCTTGCCACCAGCGGGTACATTGTTCCCAAATAGGCCACGATGACAAGTTGTTCACTAGTGACCGCTGGCAGTGATATAAATTTCTCTTTCTGTCCCGCCTGTTGGCTCAAAGAAAAGGTGCTGCTGCTGTGAGCTTTATGACGAAATGCTTTATCCCCATTAACCTTCACAGAGTGAGTATCAGGAGGGGATTTCAGGTGGAATAAAGCACCGGTGTCAATAGGCAGATGTGTCACTGCACTCAGCTCAAAAGGAGGCGATGGGCGAGCAGGAGGTGCCCTCCGTCCTTCATTTCTCCTCTTTTCTTTTGGGGTCATTCCTTAGCTGGGCTCTGACAGCAACCGCTGATAAGAAAATGATTAAGTATCATGGACGCAACCATGAGCCAATTCATGTTCCAGGTTGCACAGAAAAGCTGTGTCAGAAGCTATTTTCTTTCTCATCAGGAAGTCCTTACAGCTTTACAATAACTCTTCATATAAGCCATATATGTGTAAAGCTGCCTTAGCTACAGCCTGAAATCCATTTACAATACATTGTGTTTCTGAAAGGATCACATGTAAGAGTTCCCAGGCATGACAGGGTGTGAATACAAGACCAGGATCATAGAGCTGAATGTGACAAATCAGGCTCAACTCGTGTCTAAACACGTCCTGATCTGGATAGGGG